ACGTCGGGCTCCCAGCATGGAGCCTGCTTGTCCCTCCTCCTGTGTCTCTGCCTCTCTCTCTCTCTATCATAATAAATACATAAATCTTTAAAAAAAATATTTAGTAATCTTTACACCCAGTGTGGGGGTCAAACTCATGACCCTGAGATCAAGAGTCATGGGCTCTTCCAACTGAGCCAGCCAGGAACCCCCAAAATAAAATCTTAAAAAAAAAAAAAAGAAAGAAAAGAAATATGAACTAAACTATGTGTGGATAAAAAGAAAAGTCAAACCATATCCAAGATGACGTGACAGCTGGGATAGGAGCTGGGGTTTTAGCCCAGGTTCCCCTGCCTGGTCATTTTGCATACAGTGCATGTGTCTGGGTACAGCCGTCACACTATTCTTAACACACTTCCACCAGAGTGACACCACAGGCAAGCTGGGCTTCCAGGAATTCAAGTATCTGTGGAACAACATCAAAAAGTGGCAGGTACGTGGTGAACTCAAAGTCCTAGCACCAAGACCCTCAGGCCGTGCCCCATGAAGTTCAGTTTAATCCTTACCTGTCTGTCCCCACGCAGGCTATATACAAACAATTTGACGTTGACCGTTCAGGCACCATCTGCAGCAGTGAACTCCCGGGGGCCTTTGAGGCAGCAGGTACGGCTGGCAGGGAGGTGGCCTGACTGGGGGTGGGATTGGTACAGCGGTCCCCAGTGAGCTGGTCTAAGCCTAAATCTTAGGGGTGGGAGCGGGTTGGGCGTTGTGGCCTCCACACCTGAGACATGAAACCATTCTCAGGGTTCCACCTGAATGAACATCTCTACAACATGATCATCCGACGCTATTCGGATGAAGGAGGGAACATGGATTTTGACAACTTCATCAGCTGCCTGGTCAGGCTGGATGCCATGTTCCGTGAGTGATACCCCAGCTCTCTTCCCAGGTGGGGGTTTGCTCCACCTGCTTTGGCCAGAGTTTCCTTCAAGCCTGATCCTGAGGCAAGCAATGCCAGGGACCACAGCAGCCCCAGCCCCTGCCCTCACATCACTCACGGTCCAGCGGAGAAGAGGCAAATCTCCAGGCAGTGACAGCCCCGAACGGTTATAGTTGGGGCAGGGGAAGGGCAGGGCAGTGATCAGGCCTGGGAGGAGCAGTGGGTGTAGATTTGTGACTAGGGAAGCTCAGGGGGCTATTTGAACCTAGGAGGCACCCGATGCAGACTAAGGGGTCAAGGAGGGCTTCCTGGAGGAGGACATGTGTGAACTGAGTCCTGAGGGATGAGGAGGAGTGACCCCAGGGAGAGAGTGGAGATGAGTGTTGCTGTGGGAACAGCCTGTGCCAAGGGAAAGAGAAGGTGGTGCTTTTGGTGTTTGTTGAACTCAGTTCTGAATGCTGGAGGGGTCTGGGATACAAAGCCATAAGGCTGGAGGAGTCAGTAGGGGCTGGATTGCGAGGGCTCTTGTGGACACAAATGCATTCAATCCTTAAGAACACCCTGAGAAAGTGGGAATTATTGTCGCCATTTTCTGGGGGAGGAAACTAGGGTTCAAGGAGGCAACACTGCTTGCTCACAGCCACTCAGGCAGAAAGTTGCAAAGTCAGAATTTGAACTCGGATCTGAGAGAACTGTGGGAAAAGAAGCAGGAGCAATGGGCACGGTCAGGCCACGCACGGCTGTGAGTGTCATGTTCAGGGGTGCTCAGACAATTATTGGGAGCAGTGGAGAGCCATAGCAGGTTCTAGTCAGAGAAAGGTCAGGGTCAGTTTTGGCTGAGGAAGAGCCCAGGGAGGGCAAAGCATTAAAACCATGGGTAGAAAAAATAAATAAATAAAACCATGGGTAGAGAAAAAGGGGCAGGTATGTCAGGGACGTGAAGAGAAGTCACTTATGAGAAGGTCTAAGAAATGGCCATTGGATTTACCACCAAGAGGGCCAGTAGGAACTGCAGTAAGGAGTGTCTGGGACACCATGTATGTGGACACCCGAGGGTGGTAAGCAAGAGAGGGAGCAAAGACAGTGTAGACCCAGGTTTGGCTGTGGGTGGGGAATACAGAGTCGGGTTTCAGGACGTGAGTGGGGACTACACCGGACAGTAGGAGCAGGAAGTGGAGCCTTCAGAGCTTCCTCCCAGTAGCCAGTTGAGGGTGGAACTGGATGGCTAGGTCCTCAGAGGTCTGTAGGAGGCTGGGGCTTGGGCAGAGGTGGGGTACATACAGGTCAGTATATGGAGGCCACTATCGAGGGGCTCACAGCCTGGCTTCCAATCCTCATGTCCCTGGACCACATCACTTCAGTTCTTCACATCACTTCAGTTCTTCACATCACTTCACTTCTCTGTACCTTGTTTTATTTATTTTATTTATTTATTTTATTTTATTTATTTTATTTTATTTTATTTATTTCATTTCATTTCATTTATTTATTTATTTATTTATTTATTTATTTATTTATTTATTTATTTATTTATGCCTTGTTTTAAAATAACATTTATGGAGGGGACGCCTAGATGGCTCAGTGGTTGAGCATCTGCCCCTAGCTCAGGGCGTGATCCTAGAGTCCTGGGATTGAGTCCTGTATCAGGCTCCCTGCATGGAGCCTGCTTCTCTCTCTGCCTATGTCTCTGCCTCTCTCTCTATGTGTCTCATGAATAAATAAATAAAATCGTTTAAAAAAATAAAAAAATAAAAAAAAAATAAAATAACACTTATCTCAGAATTAGATTACATGAGTTAATAATACATGGAATGCACTTTATACAGTGCTTGGCACAGAGTAAGAAATCAATAAAGTGCTAGCCATTATTTTATTATTTTTTCATATTATTTGAAAAAAACTATTAAGTAAACTCTACATACAATGTGGGGCTTGAACTCATGACCCGGAGATCAAGAGCGGCATGCTCCAACTGAACAAGACCCGTGCCCCAAGTGCTAGTCGTTATCATCGTTCCATATGTACATTTTTATCCTATTTATTTATTTATTAAAGGTTTTATTTATTTATTCATGAGAGACACACAGAGAGAGGCAGAGACACAGGCAGAGGGAGAAGCAGGCTCCTCGCAGGGAGCCCGATGTGAGACTCGATCCCTGGACCCTGGACCCTGGGATCATACCCTGAGCCTAAGGCAGACACTCAACCACTGAGCCACCCAGGCGTCCCTATTTTTTTTTCTTCAAGATTTTATTTTTATTTATTTTTATTTTTTAAAAGATTTTATTTATTCATGAGAGACACAGAGAGAGAGGCAGAAACACAGGCAGAGGGAGAAGCAGGCCCCATGCAGGGAGCCTGACGTGGGACTCGATCCCAGGTTTCCAGGATCATGTCCCCCGGCTGAAGGTGGCACAAAACCGCTGAGCCACCTGGGCTGCCCCAAGATTTTATTTTTAATCTCCACACCCAACATGGGGCTCAAACTCACAACCCTGAGATCAAGAGTCGCATTCTCTAGCAACTGAGCCAGCCAGATGCCCCTGCATGTTTTATCCTAAGAGCCAAATCCCCCAAACCTTTTCTTCTCTAGGTGCCTTCAAATCTCTTGACAAGAATGGCACTGGACAAATTCAGGTGAACATCCAGGAGGTAAGAGCTCTCATTCTGAGATGTGGGTGCCCAGCAGGGACACCCCCCCCCTCAGCCTCATGTACCAACTACTCCCTCCCTCCTATTTCCCAACAACCCCTGGGGAAGGACAGAGAAAGGTGTCAGCTATTCCTTGGTTCCCTGCTCCTCACCCTGTGCCTTCCTCTCCCCAGTGGCTGCAGCTGACTATGTATTCCTGAATGGGAACCCCAGACCTGCCCCCTCATCGCCTCGCTATAGGAGTCACCTTGGATTCTTCTGTCTCTCCCAGGGCCGAGCCAGTCTGCAGTCTCGTCTTCATGGGTCCTATTGACCCACAGGTCTTTTGGTTCCCCCAGCCCTTGGCACTCGGCTTCTCAGCCAATAGCCAGGGCCCAACATGCCCCAACAAGCCATGCCCCGAGTTACCCCTGGCTCTGAGACACTCTAACACACCTTGTCCTGAGGGTCACCCCACCCTTGGCACACCCATCCCACACCCGCTCCATAACCCCTGTCATGCACCTGTGCCAAACCCGGTAGTTATGTTGCTTCCACACCCCAAGGGCCCTTCTCTCAGTCTCGGGAAGATCACTCCAGTCCCTACACACTCTGGCACACTTGTTCACAGTTACCACCCTGGCAGCCAAACTCCAGGCCATAACAGGCCCGGGCGCCACCGTGCCTTTGTCTGTACTCTGCTCTCAGCCTGCCAGGCCCGGGAGGAAATAAAAGCACCCCAGTTGCTGCTCTCTCTAAAATCTGCCTCCTGTTCTGAGAGTTGAGGGGAGGCTCTGTCTCTGTCAGGGGCAGAGGGAAGTCGGGTCCTAGTGGCGGGGGTGGTGTAGTCTGTATCCCCAGGCCTGGATCTGCATGTTTCCTAGTCCTTTTCTTGTCTTTGTCCTTTTTCCCATACTGGATTCTAGTTGAGCTGTACTCTTTTCTTGCTGAGCTCCCTGTGGAGGCTGAGACTGGGACCCAGAAGCCTGGACAGTCTCTGCTTCTGCTGCAAGTTCCAGGCTCTTGGGAGATGTCAGTACCCCCCACCCTAGCTCTGTTCCCCAAGGCCATGCTTGCTTCCTCTTGGCTCTGTCCTCACTTGCCTCTGCCTCTGTTGTGTCATGGATCCTGTTCAGTATTTTCCTTCCTACTCTTGAGGCTCTGGAGGGAGAGGGGCTGCCATCCTAGAATAGAGCCCCCTCTGGAATTCCAGGATGTGATCCCAGATCCCCAGGCCCTAAGAGGCAGCCCAGGGGGACCGTAGGGGTCCCTAGCCCCTCAGGAGGGCTGAGAGGCAGCAATATCCTGGGAGTAGCTTTGTAGTTGTAGTAATCCTCTAGCACGAGGGGCTCAGGGCTGGGGCAGTGGGCTGTCCTGGTGTCACAATCCCTTGCTGGTGGGAGGATGGGCTTGCCAGGGGCGGGCAAACAAACGGAGGCCACAGCTGGGCTGGGTTCCCCAAAAAGCCAGCACATTTATTGATGCTTGTTCAGGTTCTCCAGGCTTCTTGGTCTCACTTCTTATGAGGGAAGGAGGCCCAGCCAAGGAAGTACAGGCTATAGGCAGTGCCTAGGGAGGGAGGAAGGTGACACAGGGTGAGATCCTAATTGCCTCCCTGGACTCTATCTCAGTTTTTTAAAGCCCCTCTGCAGGCTCCTCAATCACCAGTCTGGATCCCAGCCCCAAGTCAGGCTCCAGCTCCCTTCCCAAACTGCACTTAAGGTGGAGAATCCCATAGTCTTGATCCAGACTAGGCTGCGGCTTTCTCCACAATTCCTGCCTGGGCCCCCCACTCCTGGGGAAGAAGCCCAAGCCCTACGTGTCCCCTCCATACATGCTAGTGCCAACTCCTGGACTGTCCCCAAACCTGGTCAGCTCGCAACCCAATCCCCTACCTGAGCCCCAGCCCAGCCACTAGCCCTCGCCGCAAAGCTCAGCCCGGGAAGCAGCGCGAGCCGGCCTCCTCCCCCAGCAGCTCATGCGGTAGCAGCCGGCACTCACCCCCCAGACACAACCCCATGGTCACTCGGTACAGGATGTTGTCCGTTCCCCCGCCCTTCAGGTGCACCGGGAGGTCATTGTCCGCCTGGGTGGTGGAGGCATCGGGTGAGAAAGGGGTACGGTGGACTGTACCCAGTCTGTCCCTACTGTGTGTGCTCCAGGACCAAGCCAGGGGTCTGGATTCTTCCCCTCGCCCCGCCCCCGGCTCCTCCTACCTGGAAGAGTTTCTGTTTCTCAGCCACTCGGTTCTGGAAGCGGTTCCGGGCAGTTGAGCTGAAAGAGCGAACCAGCGCCTGGGAGACCTGGCGGGGAGGGAGGGGATGGGTGTCGGAGACACCAGAAAGGGTGCCCCCAAGGGGTCTGGCTCTTGGGGGGGCGGGGTGAGGGGATGGGCCCTCTGAGGCCTGGACGTGGGGACGGCCCTTCCTGTGTCTCAGCGGCAAGATCCGAGCCGCCACTACGAGGCAAGGCAGGGGTTCTGTCCAGAAAGGCCCAGAGAAAAAGGGGACTCGCGCCGAGTCTGGCTTAGAGGTTTCCCGGTTGTTTAGAGGGTCTCGGAAGAGGAGCCGACCCAGAAGGAGACTTGTTCTGCGGGTCCAAGCCCCGAGATTTTTATTTTTATTTATTTAATTTTTTTTAAGGAGGGAAGCTTTCCTAGATTAACGGGAACGCTCCACCCCTGGGTCCGTGCGCCTAGGGGGGTTTGCATAGTGCCTGAGAAGTCCGGGGAGGGCAAGGGCGTTAGGGTCCCAGGGCCTAGTCCGGAGATGTTAACGGGGCCCTGGATGAAGGGCAGGAGCTCACACCGCGGCGCTGGGCCGTGTTAGGGCCCGCGGCTGTCTCGCAAGCCCTTGGGTTAGCAGCCGGGGTTGAGAGCCCCGTGCTGTTTAGGAGGGAGCCCGAACCCTGAAGGGGGACCACGTTCCAAGGCCCCAGATCCCGGGATGTTTAGTGAGTCTCGCATCGGGGCGAGCGCTTCCAGGTTGGGTTCCCCGGCCGGCCCTTGGGGGCCCTCACCCGCAGGGCCCTCATTGTGCGTCCTCTTCTTCGGCGATGTCACCTCCCCTCTCAACCCAAGGACACCCGGAGCCCTCCCCTCCCCGGGGATCCCAGGCCACGCCCTCGGCGCGCCGCGTCACAGCTTTGTCCCGGGGTCGTGGGGGGGGGGGGGAAGATTCCCGTTCCTGCGACAGGCGCGCGGAGAGGACGCTCCAATCCCGCCCCCGCGCCTAGAGGTCCGAAGCATCCGTTACTCGGAATTTCTGCGGTCCAAGTGCGGAGGAGCACGAAACTAGGGAATGCATTTTTGGTTTGTTTCTGCGGAGATTCCCGTCCGGGGCAAGTGCAGTTCCTCTCCCTGGGCCTCAGATCTATCCCTACGGGAGATGGTATTGGAGAGCGAGTGAGGGCGCAGATAACCAGGTTCCAGCTTCTCGTTCTGTCTGCCTAGACTGGGTGATTGCACCTTCGGAGCCTTAGTTACCGTGTCTGTAACGTGGGAGCTAAATCAGGATCTTCCTCAAAGGTTTGTTGTGAGCATTAAATGAGCTCATAGAACAGCATAACCGAGCTAACCGTTATAATGATGGTAATAACTTGCACAATTATTGCATAACTGAGCTGATAACTGCACATAAACAAATAAGAGTCCTTATTTTTACTACTTTCTAGCAATAGGCTTGTTAAAAAACAAGTTTAGCCCAGTCAATGTGAAGATCTGAAAGATTTCATTAAATGATTCCTGAATTGGGCAGCAACCCCATCTATCGGAAAGGAAGGGAGCTCCGTGGAGCTACAGAAAAGCAAAGGTTTTGAAAGGCCCCTGGGGAGAAAAATTTAAAAAAGAAAAAGGGGGAATTAGCAAAGAATGCACTGTTTTAGGCCCGGTCTGTCTCCTAAGGGGAATGGATGGGGTTTATGGGATTACCTCCTAGTGTTGACCAGTGAATTCCAGTTTGGCTGGTTAACGGTTATATTCCTGGGGGTGTTGAAACGGCAGTTAGGTTAGGTATTCAGTCTTGGTTTACTGAAGTGGGGCCCTAGCACAAGTGACTCTATTAGGCCTGTGATTTTTCTTTTAACGGGTTTATATACCAAGTATTTTTATACTTAATTTTCCTTTTTACCATGAAAAATTAAAAACAGAAAAAAGGGAGAAAGGACCCATCCATCACCAGCTTCAGCAATTATCACCATTATAATGTATTTCATGTGTTTGCCCCCATTCAACTCCTTTTTTCGCTTTATTGAAGTATTTTAAAGCAAATTGCAGCATCATAATTCATTTTTACATATGTGTCTCTAACAGATGACTTTTAAAAAAGGAAAAACCTGATGATCCCGTTTGTGGATTGAATCTGGGATTCAGAAAGATCATTTAAATTTTTTTTCTTTTTATTTGTAGGACAGTGGGTGAATTCTTTAAAAAAAAAAGTCTGTAGATTAGACAGTAACATTGTGTCAGTGTTAATTTCCTGATTTTGATGAGTGTGCTGTGAGTATGTAAAAGGATGTCCTTGTTTTTAGGAAACACGTGCTGAAGTATCTGGGAGTAAAAGGTATCATATCTGTAACTTACTACCTTAAGATGGTTAAGAGACAAATTATACTTCTATATTCATGTCTATTTGATCCTGATATGCTGCCAGTTAAGTACAGTTGCCCTCATGGTTTAGTCATGGCTGTGGCATAGTCTAAAAGGGTTTAATAGTCTCTTTTAAAGAGGGTTTTTATAACAATTACATTCCCTTAACACTTTCAAACTATGCTTGTAAATTTAATACGTTAGACTTTTCCATTTAAGAGCTACAGTAGGCCAATTTAACAGATGACTCTTTGCTTAATACTTAACATTAGTTTTATGACTTTAGAATTATAAACTTATAAATGCATCAAATCTTATATTCCACTAATTGTTCCAATAGTGTATATAAATAGTAAGGTTTCAACTAACAGTAAGTCTAGTTACTAACTGGATTCCATATTTTAAATTGGAATTATAAAATTGACTTGTCATTTGAACAAGTTTTGTAATATTAAAGTTAATAAATAATATTCAGTTTCCTTAAAACAAAAAAAAGTTAATACCATGGTTTTGTCCATCTTAAGTATTTCTTTACATGATATTTTTTTAAAGATTTTATTTATTTATTCATGATAGACATAGAGAGAGAGAGAGAGAGAGAGGCAGAGACACAGGCAGAGAGAGAAGCAGGCTCCTTGCAAGGAGCCTGATGCAGGACTCGATCCCAGGACCCCAGGATAATGCCCTGGGCCAAAGGCAGGCGCCAAACTGCTGAGCCACCCAGGGATCCTAATATTTCTTTTTTTAAAAAAGATTTTATTTATTTGTTAATGAGAGACACAGAGAGGGAGAGAGACAGAGACTTAGGCAGAGGGAGAAGCAGGGAGCCTGATGTGGGACTTGATCCCGGGACTTCAGGATCACACCCTGGGCCAAAGGCAGACTCTCAACCACTGAGCCACCCAGGCATCCCTTTACATAATATTTCTAAATGTAATTTTTATTAGTGAATTCAAAATCTTCCCAAGGTTAGATCGTGCTTATTTACACCATAAGATGCTCAATATCACACCATCAAGCATCATAAGGGGAAGTACAAATTAAAACCACAATGAGATACCACTACATACCCACTGGATGGCCAAGATTAAAAAGCTGACCGCACCAAATGCTGATGAGGATGTAGAACAATTGTAACTCTCATACATTGCTGTTCAATCAGGAGATAGAAACCACCCAACAGATTAAACAGGAACATTTAATATAAAGAATTATTAACTATGATAAAAGAGTGTAAGAAACAAGGAAACCCTTTATAGTACCCTAGTGTTGAGACTACTGAAGAAAGGAAAAAATTGGAAGGGATTTAGACTTTTGCATGATTTGACCATTAGACGACAGAGAAGTTTGCCAGCTTAGCCAGGCAAGAGTAGTCTGGAGTCTCTGGATGAATAGACAAGCCTCTGGAGTGTAGGCAGGGGAGCAGATGTTCAGTGACTGGTAGAGTGGACATGCAGTGGGAGTTGGTGCTGGCAGAGGCAGGGGCCTCCAGGGCATGCAGGTCATGGAGGGTGGGAAAGCTGTTTGCAGAAGGAATGACTGCTTGGTGTATGGCCCTTTGGACCACAGGTGCTTGTGTGCAAGCTACTTGGGCTTGCCTAGGGAATCCAGCAGGTAACAGCCTGCAGGTTGCATGGGGGTTCTGAGGGAGTCCAGGTAGGTGGCTGTGTGGGGTTGAATGGGGGCTCATCAAAGGAATCTGGGTAGGTGGCCTTAGAAAGGCTGTTGCTGGGCTGAGGTTGAGGCAGGTTCTGTGGGAGGTCCTCACACCCACACCATTGGATGCTGGACCCCAGCCTGCCTGCACTGAAAATTACAGGAAGCCTCTACTTTCCTGCAGTGTCTCTCAGTGTCCTCTACTGAGAAAGCCTAAGAATGTGCTATCCTTTTTTTCTTTTTTAAAAGATTTTACACTTAAGTAATCTCTACACCCACTGTGGGACTTGAACTTAAAACCCTAAGATCAAGAGTTGCACACTCTATCAACTGAGCCAGCCAGGCAGCTGTAGTGTGTGCTGTCTTTAAAGCAGAAATGCTTAAAGGAATTCCGTTGTCTATCACAGAGCATATGTTGAAGTGTGCATTTGGAGTTGGGATGCAGTAAAACTGTCTGCCTCTCTGCCTACTCAGATTCCATAGGCACCCACCTAGACACATTTGAGCTCTCTTACAGTAACAATAAAACTATTTTTCCCTATCCTTGGTCCAGTTGAAAGAGTTTTACTTTTCCCCAGAATAAGAACCAAGGTCCCAACAGTTACTGTATCTATCACAGCCAATACTAATCACTTCTCTTATTCTGTCACAATCCCACTGAATATTGTTACCCAAAGACTAAATTGCAAACCTCCAATAAAAACTTTTAATATCTAAAAGTCTTTTATTTTTTTTTAATTTTTATTTATTTATGATAGTCACACACACAGAGAGAGAGAGAGGCAGAGAAACAGGCAGAGGGAGAAGCAGGCTCCATGCACCGGGAGCCCGATGTGGGATTCGATCCTGGGTCTCCAGGATCGCGCCCTGGGCCAAAGGCAGGCGCCAAACCGCTGCACCACCCAGGGATCCCTATCTAAAAGTCTTTTAAGGGGCACCTGGGTGGCTCAGTTGGTTAAGTGTCTGCTTTCGGCTCAGATCATGATCCCCAGGCCCTGGGATCCAGCCCCAAGTAGGGCTCCCTGCTCAGCAGGGAGTCTGTTCTCCCTCTCCCCTTGCCCCTCCCCCACCATGTGTGCTCTGTCTCAAGCAAATAAAAATCTTTAAAATAATTTTTAAAATAAATCTTTTAAAAGAGGAAAGAGGGGGATCCCTGGGTGGCGCAGCGGTTTGGCGCCTGTCTTTGGCCCGGGGCGCGATCCTGGAGACCCGGGATCGAATCCCACATCGGGCTCCCGGTGCATGGAGCCTGCTTCTCCCTCTGCTTGTGTCTCTGCCTCTCTCTCTCTCTCTCTCTCTCTGTGACTATCATAAGTAAATAAAAAAGAAATTAAAAGAGGAAAGAGGAAGGAGAGAAGGGATTGGTTAGAATAAACACTTGCATGTAACAAGTGTAGAGGAAATATGCAGTTTTCCTTTCCATAGTTGGTCAGATGGTCAGAGTTGATGTCCAAAGCTTCCTTATTTAATTACCCTCTCCATCTTTCCCTGGCTCTCAGCCACAACCTCAGCTGCTGTGGGTTCTTTATGTGATTGAGTTGACCCAAACGTTCATTCCCAAAAGATTTGAGTCCTCAGGCATCCTGCGTTTTATCAGTTGTAGTTTTTTTTTTTTTTTAAGATTTCTATTTATTCATGAGAGACACAGAGAGACAGAGGCAGAGACACAGGCAGAGGAAAAAGTAGTCTCCATGCAGGGAGCTGGATGTGGGACTCGATCCTGGGTCTCCAGTATCACTGGCCTGGGCTGAAGGCGGCGCTAAACCGCTGAGCCACCTGGGCTGCCCAGTTGTAGTTTTATATTAAACTTTACTATTGGGCATGGAAGTACTAAAAGGCTCCAGAGAATCCCCTGGAATCCAGACTTAGTTTTTCTTGCCTCCATTGTGTAGAAGCAACCCAGTTTTACCTGGGTAAGGGATCAATCATTCCAGCCAATAGATTAGCTGCTTTGGCTTTTGTTGCCTTTTGGTTCAGTGGCATAGTGCCCCAAAATGTCCAGGTGGAAGTCTTATCTTTTTTTTTTTTTTAAGATTTTATTTATTTATTTGACAGAGAGAGGGAGGGAGTGGGGGAGAAGGTGAGAGAGAAGCAGATTTCTTTCTGAGCAAGGAGTCCAATGTGGGACTAGATTTTAGGATCCCTGGGATCATGACCTGAGCCAAAGGCAGATGCTTAGCCGACTGAGCCACCTATATGCCCTGGAAATCCAACTCAGGAATTAAGTGCCCCCAGGGTAAGCATTCCTCCCCGTGGGGACTAAGATCTCCAAACTAGCAGAGTTTGAAATTGTTGAGGAGAGAAGGAAACATTTTTCTAGTGAGTTACTAGTTATTATAGTGAGACTCACTTCCTTACTTTGATTCCCAGACCCATAGATTCTGGCTGTGGGACAAACAGTACCATGTAGTGGTCTCTGATTCAAAGCATACAGTGCATCATCCTATAACACAGACAGGGTGTTGTTTCCCACCTGGCCCTGTGACCAAGTCATGAAGTCATTCTATTTTTTTTTAAAGATTTTATTTATTTATTCATGAGAGATACACACACACACACACACACACACACACACACACACACACACAGAAGCAGAAACACAGGCAGAGGGAGAAGCAGGCCCCATGCATGACATGGGACTAGATTCCGGGTCTCCAGGATCAGGCCCTGGGCTGAAGGCGGTGCTAAACCGCTGAGCCACCTGGGCTGCCCATCATTCTACTTTTCAATTAGGTCTGTTGATACTGGGTATACGGGTGTCTGTAAGACCAGTGTATTCTATGGGCATGAGCCTGTTGCTCTATTTCCTTCATTTTGAAATGAGTTTCTTGAACTGGCATGATCCTGTATAGAATGCCATGATTGTAGATCAGCACTTGAGTCCACAGACAGGGTTGACAGCAAAAGCTTTATAGGCAAAGCAAGTCCATATTCAGAATTTCTATTGATTCCAATGAAGACAAATCTTTGCCCCCTTCATGATAGTAGAGGTCCAATGTAATCAGCTTGCCACCAGGTAGCAGGATGATTCTCCCGGGAATAGTGACATTTGGGACTCAAAATGACTGTTGGTAGATTAGGCACTCAACAATGGCAGTTGTGGCAAAGATTTTCTCCTTGACTGAACGGTCAGGCTCCTCTGAGCCCTCTTCTTGACTAGGCTTGATCTTGAGCTTCTGTCTCTATCCTTATAGAGTCCAGTTTTAGCAAGAATCCTGCTAAGTCAGTTTTGTCAGAATCTCCTGAAACCCCACTTCTGATCATCCTTGACATCTGACCAAATTCATCAGCCCCCCAAACCCCCAGGCAATATTTGATCACCCTGACCTGCCTTCAGCAAGAATTCTGTTAGATCTATTTACCAAAGAATTTCCCAATCCTCTTAGTAATTTTCCATCCACTCACCTTACCCCCTTTGGCTCTGAATCCCACTTTTCCTGCTATTCAGAGTTGAGCCCAGTCTCTCCCTCTTACTGAAAAAAAACTCCTTTGCAGTAGTCCCTATATTGTGATTATCCTGAATAGAGTCCACCTTAGCATTTTAATAAGTGTCAGAATAACTTTTTCTTTAACAGTAGCCAAGTCAGCCTTGGTAAGGAGATGTCCATGTTGTTGAGCCCATCCCTGCCACCATGGCCACTTTGTTTTGTTTTTTAAATATCTTATTTCTGGGATCCCTGGGTGGCGCAGTGGTTTGGCGCCTGCCTTTGGCCCAGGGCGCGATCCTGGAGACCCGGGATCGAAACCCATGTCGGGCTCCCGGTGCATGGAGCCTGCTTCTCCCTCTGCCTGTGTCTCTGCCTCTCTCTCTCTCACTGTGTGCCTATCATAAATAAGTAAAAATTAAAAAAAAAATAAATATCTTATTTCTTAAGTAATCTATACACCCAATGTGAGGCATGAAACACTGCCCCCCCACCAAGATCAAGAGTTGCATGCTCTACCAACTGAGCCTGCCAGGTGCCCTGGCCACTTTGTTTATGGACACACTGAACAAATGTTGGGGTAGCTTGGAAAGAGGCTGACTGACAACCCTAGAAGTATCACATGTCTACCTGATTGTTAAGAATCTTCTCGGCAGCGGATGCCCTTTGGTGGGCATTCACATAGAACACAGTTGGTGCATATTCTGGGAAGTCCATCCACATACTTCTTCCCAAAATTCCTTGTCACTAATCTTTCAATCTTGTTCCTTCCAAGTTTTGACCATCCACTCATACCATGAGTACCTGCCCATAAATTCGTATACCTCCATACTCTTGACCACTCCAGACAATGGACAATCAAATGTCCCTTTTGCAGTTTTGACCTCTGTCCTTCAGATTCATCCCTGCAGCTGTCCCCCTTCAGGCTGTACCAGCATATTGTGAAGACTGTCTGTAAACTAGGTTCACATTTGTTCTTCCTCAGTTGGTCGGCATGTTCCCATGGGAGGACAATAGGCTTGGATTCAGGGAGAGGAGGCGATGCAGTAGGAGATATTGCCGGATCTGTGCTAGCAGTGAGGCAGCTTGGACTACAGCCTGAACTTAATCTGCAGCATGCTCTTGTTCTGGTCCTCACTCAAAGCAGTCAGCCTTACCGGTGAGTCTGAAGATGGATCAAAGAAAGTAGCACACTCAGCTAGGTTCTAGCTGCTAAAATCCCCCAAACAGGGGCAGCCTGGGTGGCTCAGCAGTTTAGCACCGCCTTCAGTCCAGGGCCTGGTCCTGTCCTGGAGACCTGGGATCAAGTCCCACATCAGGCTCCCTGCATGGAGCCTGCTTCTCTCTCTGCCTGTGTCTCTGCCTGTCTCTCTGTGTGTGTCTCATGAATAAATAAAATCTTAAATAATAATAATAATAATAATAATAAAATCCCCCCAACACCTACCAAATGTTTTGCTTCTTTCTTTGTGGTAGGTAGTGTGAGTTGTAGCAACTGTCTTACCTTAGAAGGGAAATTTTGGGGCCATTTGGGTGGTTTAGTTGGTTAAGCATCTGCCTTCGACTCAGGTCATGATCCCAGGGTCATGTGATGGAGCCCTGCATCCGGCTCTCTGATCAGCGCAGTGCCTGCTTCTCCCTTTCCCTCTACCTGGTGCTCTGCCTGCTTGTGCTCTCACTCTATCAAACAAATAAATACAAATCGTAAAATAAAAGGGAAATCTTTTTTTAATAATAAATTTATTTTTTATTGGTGTTCAATTTGCCAACATACAGAATAACACCCAGTGCTCATCCCGTCAAGTGCCCCCCTCAGTGCCCGTCACCCAGTCACCCCAACCCCTGTCCACCTCCCCTCACATAGGACAATTCACCTATCTTTCATCACATTGCTCTAAGAGTAAGGGACTGGGGAAAAACGAGCTGATGCACTTACTCAGTTTGAGGTAGTTAATAAGAAATCTGTCTCTAATCCATTATACCTCTCATGCACATTCTCAATAAAATTAATAAAGATGAATATTAACAACCCAACGATGTGATTCAGTCACATTCCACATCGTCTGCTTCTTTCTGTCCTGAAACCAACAGAGTCTGATTATTTATAATTTCTGCTCCCCTATACAATCAGCTTGCAGTTATCTCTTTAGGGACCCTATGGCATGACCTTTAAATTTCAAATTATGTTAATCTACTGACCAACCTTTTCTATAGTTTTTGTTTAAAATGTTGAGAGACAGGACTTGATCGTTTCAGATCCACTTTCTGTGCTAGGCCATGACACTGTCTCTGGCAGCCTAGGCTTGAAGGGCCACGTCCAGTTAGCATTGACAGGGATGTCTCAACTACTAGGCAGCAGGAAAGCTGGGGGCATGGGGAGGGGTGTGTGTGGGGGAGGTGTGTGTGTGTGTGGGGGACAAACCAGCAATGATTTTGCTCCTTCCTCATAGTAGAGTCTCCTTTTACCTGGATTCTTTCAAGTCAGTGCCTGAGGTGAAAATAGTGTATAGTTAAAATTTCCCTTGAAAAATATCTTAAGATGGCTGTCACCCAGTTACCCCATCACTTCACGTACCTCCTCAACAGCAACCCTGTTTCTTTCTCATAGTTAAGAGTCTCTCATGGTTTATCTCCATGCAACTGATGAATTTCTAAACTCTACATCTGAAACTAATGATGTACTCTATGTTGGCTAATTGAATTAAAAAAAGAAAACACCTTAAGATGACACCATATTGGAAGGTAAGATGCCATCTTTTCTTTTTTCTCCATTTTTCATTATGTCGAGCACAGTCCTTTTTCCTTCCATTTTGTTTGTTTGTTTCTAAAGATTTTATTTATTTATTTGACAGAGAGAGAGAACGAGCCGGTTGCTCATGAGGGGTTGAGGGAGAAACAGGCTCCCCACTGAGCAGGGAGCCTGACATGGGGCTCCATCCCCAGGACCCTGAGATCATGCATGACTGAGCTGAAGGCAGACGCTTAACAGACTGAGCCACCAGGCACCCCCTTTCCCCTCCCATGGTAAAACAGATTGCTGTAGCTTTGGCTAACCATCAAAGTTAGATTTGGATTTAGGGGCCATGTTGTATGAAAAATACACTCAACTCACACGCATCCAGGTGAGACATGGGAACCAAGGAAGCCGTAGTTTATGCCCTTATCTTATGCTCATTCAGGAGCATATGCTGTTCACTCATTGAGTGGAATGGAGGGCAGAATAATTTTCTTTGTTTGAACAAATATTTTTTTGTGATCTCTTGGTTTATTGTGAATTCATGTAGTTGAGTCTGGATTTATTAAACATGCATCCAAAATGACTCAGCTGGGGATCCCTGGGTGGCTCAGTGGTTTAGCGCCTGCCTTCGACCCAGGGCGTGATCCTGGGGACCCAGGATTGAGTCCCACGTCGGGCTCTATGCATGGAGCCTGCTTCTCCCTCTGCCTGTGTCTCTGCCTCTCTCTCTCTCTGTGTGTGTCTCTCATGAGTAAATAAATAAAAAAAAAAAATCTTAAAAAAAAAAAAATGACTCAGCTGCATAGCAACTGTCTTTGCTGCTTCCTGTCTTACCTCTGCCTCTGCAGTCAGTTTTTCACCCTGGAAAGGAAGGTAGTTGTTCTATTTATCTATCTGTTGACTTAGACTCTATTGCATTCCCAGCATCTGGTACATGGGTGAATTTGATAAATATTTGTTGAAGGAAAGGTAACCCAAATATTTTCTAATTTGCTCACTCCCACTCATTTAATAAAGAAGGACCTCAGTTGCTTCTCTTACTTTTATCTATCTTCTAGATATTTCTGGGCATCTTCAGGGAGTGTCTTCCCTTGCACCACTCACCCAGTTGTTCCCTGTTATCTGCAGCTGAGGCATCAGTGTTCAGGAAAGAAAACAGAAATCGATCTAGGCTGGGCAGCCCCGATGGCCCAGTGGTTTAGTGCTGCCTTCAGCCCAGGGCATGATCCTGAAGACCCAGGATTGAGTCCCACATCAGGCTCCCTGCATGGAGCCTGCTTCTCCCTCTGCCTGTGTCTCTGCCTCTCTCTCTGTCTCTGTCTCTGTCTCTCTCTCTATGTGTCTCTCATGAATAAATAAATAAAATCTTAAAAAAAAAAGAAAGAAATCGATCTAGGGATTGAATACTTGAAAGGTTGGAAAGACTGAGAGAGCACTTTCTAATCAGGATTTTTACCTAGTTTGTGGGGACTGTGCAAAAAAGAAAATGTGGGACCCCTTGTTGAGACAGCAGGGAAAAAGTGCCATTAAGAATACTAAAAAATAGGGATCCCTGGGTGGCTCAGCAGTTTAGCACCTGCCTTCAGCCCAGGGTATGATCCTGGAGACCGGGGATCGAGTCCCATATCAGGCTCCCTGCATGGAGCCTGCTTCTCCCTCTGCCTGTGTCTCTGCCTCTCTCTCTCTATGCCTCTCATGAATAAATAAATAAAATCTTAAAAAAAAAAGAATACCAAAATATAAGGGCACTTGGGTGGCTCAGTCTGCTAAGCATCTGCCTTTGACTCAGGTCATGGTCCTGGGGTCCTGGGTTCAAGTCCTGTGTCGGGCTCCCTGCTTAGTTGGGACTCTGCAGCTCTCTCTGCTCCTTCCCCAGCTCATACTTTTTCTCTCTGTCTCTCAAATAAATAATATCTAAAAAAAAAGAATACTAACGTATAGGGATGCCTAGGTGGCTGTTTGGGTTAAGTGTCTGCCTTCGGCTTGGGTCATGATCCCAGGGTCCCTGAATCAGGCTCTCTGCTCAGCAGGGAGTCTGTTTCTCCCTCCCTCCACCCACCTACCCCCACCCCCCGCTCATGCTCTCTCTCTCAAATAAATAAAATCTTTTAAAAAGAGAAGAATACTAAAATATAAAGCTTTTTTTCTTTTTTCTATGATCTCTCTCAACTTGTCATAGTGTTTTGAATTTGCTATTTAATGCTGTGCTCCCAAGGGCAATGATACTCCTCGGGTGAGTACAAACACAGGTATCTAGGGTGCCTGCCCTGCAACTCTGTCTGCCTATAAATGCGCCTAATGACAAAATGTCTTCCTAACTAGGCTGCCCACTGGCTGCCAGCTCCCCTCTCCCCACCAGTCACTGCACCAACTCCTTGTGTCCTGGCCAGAGATGGAGAAGTTGAACCAGGCATCTCCCCTTCCCATGAGCATGGTGCCTGGGGTAAAGCAACTTCTGTGCCAAGAAGAGCCCAGGATCAGAGGTGGGCAAAACATTCTTTCCTACCAGGTTCCCTGCTGAATGTGCCATGGTATGAAGACTGAAGTGGCGGGAGCTGGCGCACCCTGCCCTCCCCCCAGAGGTCACAGGCAACGGAGGTGTATTGGACCTTGACCCTCCTTAGCCCTTGCACAGGGCCCAGGGTCCAGGCCTCAGGAACACAGAACAGGCAGCTAAGAGCCTGTCTCAGGGAGAGTGGCGGAAGAGAGCATGCATAGGAGTCAGGCCCCAGGTCCCTGGTGCTGGCTCTACTCACAAGATACATATTTAAAGATAACATTATTCAGAACTTCAAAACAGGGGCTCCTGGGTGGATTAGTTGGTTAAGTGGCTGCCTTTGGGTCAGGTCACAATCCCAGGGTCCTGAGATTGAATATTATGTCATTGGGTTCCCTGCTAAATGGGAGCCTGCTTTTCCCTCTCCCTCGGCCCCTCCTCCAGCTTGTGCTCTGCTCTCTTGCTCACTCTCTCTCAAATAAATACAATCTTAAAACACACACACACACACACACACACACTTAAAAACAGCAACCATAGAGCATTAAATCCCAAGCATGTGGCCCTTTTGAGTCTCAGAAAGCAACTGCTCTGTGTGGCCTCGGCAGGGATGGGGTTGAGAACACACTCCTTCCGCACTGACCTGGGGTCAGGAAGGCTGAATCAAGAAGCTGCTGTCACCATTGCTCAGATCTCTTTTGGAAATGGTTTTGTCAACTTGCAGGACAAAAAATGCTCTAATTCAGGATAGAGAGCTAGCTGAGGATATAAGCTATGCTGCCCTGTGTTAGGTAGCTTGAAGCCTTTGTTGTAACAAAAAGGCGACAAAATACTGTAGTTTAAAGAACATGCAACTTCTATACCAACCGATCTCAATACATAGACCTTGTTTGGATCTTGATAAGAACAAACAGTAAAAGAAAAAAAAACTGTGACATTTTTGAGACAGTTGGAAACTTGAACAATGATAGATTTCCTTCAATATTTTATTACAAAAAATTTCAAAGATACAGAAAAGGTGAAGGCACCTTAGCGTGAACACTCATGTATCTAACACCTAGACTTTATTTCACAATAACATTTTGTTATTTTGCTTTATCAGATAACTAGCCATCTATACCTCTATCAATCTATATCTTTTTCAATGTATTTTTTTAAAGATTTTATTTATTTATTCACAAGAGACACATACACACAGAGGCAGAGACATAGGCAGGAGGAGGAGAAGCAGGCTCCATGCAGGGAGCCTGATGTGGGACTTAATCCTGGGACTCCGGGATCACGCTCTGAGCTGAAGGCAGATGGTCAACCACTGAGACACCCAGGTATCCCCTTTTCAATATATTTCAAAGTAAATAGGAGATATCAGTATTCTTCTCCCAAATACGTCAGCATGTGTCACTAACATCTCCTGGATGTTTCATTATATAAATAATTTGAAATTTTTATATGTGATATGGCTTTGGTGGTTGTATTTTAGAAGTCTATGTTTTAGAAAGACATACTTAGTGGAGCCTGGCTGGCTTGGTTGGTGGAGCATGTGACTCTTGGTCTCAGGGTTATGAGTTTGAGCCCCGTGCTGTGGTATAGAGAATACTTTAAAAAATATTATTTATTTGAGAGAGAGACAAGGAGAGCATGAGCAGAGGGAGGGGCAGAGGGGGACAGAGGGAGAAGCAGACTTCCCACTGAGTAGGGAGCCGACCATGGGGCTTGACCCTAGGACCCTGCGATCATGTTCTGAGCTGAAGTCAGACACTTAACTGACTGATCCACTCCCCCATACTTGATAATTTTTTGGTATGATATCCAATGTATTAATCACTACCAATAAACAAATTATCCCAGGGGATCCCTGGGTGGCTCAGCGGTTTGGCGCCTACCTTTGGTCCAGGGCACGATCCTGGAGTCCCGGGATCAAGTCCCACGTCGGGCTCCCGGCATGGAGCGTGCTTCTCCCTCCTCCTGTGTCTCTGCCTCTCTCTCTTGCTCTCTCTCTGTGACTATCATAAGTAAATAAAAATTAAAAAAAAAAAGCTTTGAAAACAAAACAAAAAACAAGTTTATCCCAAAATGTAGCAGCTTCAAACAACATTTATTATCTTGCACAGATTTTGTGGATCAGGAATCTGGGGATGGTTTAGCCCAGCGACAGTCAACAGCTCAGGGTAAAAGTGGGCAGGAAACCACCAGGATTTGCCCGTTGTGTGGGGGGCAGGTACACTGATCCAGACAAACCTTCCAGGGTCCGGAACCAAGCTTTGATGTCATTCTGCTGCCATCTTGTGGCAGGCCTGGAACAATCAGTCACCCCTCCCACTCGTACCTTCCCATACTAATCCTGTTTGATGGTGTTTTAGGACTTACTTTTTATTTATTTATTTTAAAGATTTGTTTATTTTAGACAGAAAGATAATGAGCAGGAGGGGTCAGAGGGAGAGGAAGAGAACCCTCAAGCCAACTCCTCACTAAGTGTGGAGCTGAACTGAACGGTGGGCTCCATCTCACGACCCCAAGATCATGACCCCAGATGATATCAAGAGTCCTGTGCTCAACTGACTGAACCAACCAAGTGCCGTTAGGGCTTGATTTTTATTTTTTTAAAGATTGTATTTATTTATTTTGAGAGAGAGCAAGCAGAGGAAGGGGCAGAAGGAGAGGGATAGAACCTCAAGTAGACTGCACGCTAACCGTGCAGCCTGATGCCATGCTCAGTCTCACCACCCTGAGGTCATCACCTGAGCTGAAATCAAGAGTGGTAGGCTCGGGACGTCTGCATGGCTCAATGATTGAGCATCTGCCTTTGGCTCGGGTTGTGATCCTGGAGTTTCGGGATCAAGTTCCACATCGGGCTCCCTGCATGGAGCCTGCTTCTCCCTCTGCCTGTTTCTCTGCCTCTCTCTCTGTGTGTGTTTCCCATGAATAAATAAATAAAATCTTAAAAAAGAAATGGGGAAGGGGTGTTCATTATTCTGTTTTCCCTACTTTTGTATATATTTGAAATTTTCCATGATTAAAAATTGAAATGTATTTCCTGAGCACCTACTGTGTGTTGGGCACTGTTCTAGGCACTGGCAAACAGCAGTCAAGAAAACAAAAATGAATTCCACACGTTCATGTAGCTTACATTCTTGTGGGATGATAATAGCTAACATTTATTGAGGACTTAACAAACACTAGACCCTGTAAACTTTTTGGAGTACATATCAGCACAGAAATACCCTACTCCTTATATTTCTTTATAAGGTGTATCGTATTCCAGTGCATGGATTTTCCCCAGTTCATTTAACCAGTTTGCTAAAGTGAAATGGACAGACAGGACTTTAAACAGTATTTGCTATTATATTTCATCCAAATCACCTTACAATTGTTTTTTCAGTATATTGCAATAATGCTCGTGATTACTTTTGAATGTCATAATTTCCTTTGGAGTCCTTGAATATATTTCACATGTTGAAACTTATAATTTTCCCCTGTACTTCCAATGCAATCCATTAAGAAAGCCAAGAGTAATGCCAATTTTGTTAAATAGCAGCTTTAAAAATATTGGCCAAATGAAATTATTTTTCAAGTAGGATATATGTGTCTCATTACTGAATTCAGTTTACCTACTTAGTATTGTTCCTCGTGACAAACACATTCAGGATGGTAGCTCCAATATTTGAACAAAATACATTCTTTCAAAATTCAGCTCTTTGGGGTGCCTGGGTTGGTTGGTTGGCCCAGTCTTGATTTCAGCCCAGGTCATGATCTTGGGCTCCTGTGAACAAGCCCTGTGTTGGGTTCTGTGCTCCATGCTTGAGATTCTGTCCCTCTGCCCCTCCCCCTACTCATACTCTCTTTCAATAAAATCTTAAAAAAAAAAATCAGTTCTGTGATGAGCTTTATTTTAACAATTCCTCTGCATTTTCAAAGCCATTTAATGAGATTCAGAAGAATCTCTTTGAGTGCGCAAACTTTGTTATATGAAGAATTGTTCCTACAATTCTTCCAACAATTTAATAGCTCCACTGCATCTTCTGGTTATACTCATAGGTCCATCACATGTAATTCCTTTTACAAATTTGCCAGTTTAATGTATACTGATTAACAATGTCTTTTTCTAATCCTATTAGAATCTTCAGTCTTGTGAATGTGAAGTTAAATTTAAATACAGTTAAACCTCCATGCAGTTATCTTGCCTGATATGTAACATTAGTGGAAAGTACTGTGGAGTATTAGTGCTCTAAGGAAATAGATTATCAATTCCATGCCAGACTTAGTTGCCTAAAAAGAATTGTTTATATTCACAGGAATAGGGATGCTGGGTTGTTATCAAATAATAGCCTAGGTTTGATAAGATACAGTCTTATCACTGAGAGATAGGGTTTCTAACTTATCACAGTTGACTTATCCCTGAAAAATTACACACATCATTAACTATATTAGAATAGAATAAAAATATTGACTGATACCTTGCCATGCCAAATGCAAGTAAATACAATAAAAATAAGACTTCTTCATTAACACTCATATAGCACAATTATAATATTGAGTTGAGAACTTTGATCTTTTTCTGTCTCTGGAAAGATTAGAAAGCAGACTCTAAGAGGTCTGCATTCAGAGTGTTTGACAAGTAGTGCTACAGAATCAGCATCTGTCAGGAGAATGTAGGCAGCTACATTCTGGTTGGGGGCAGAAGTCGGCTGCAAACAACAGCCACACGCTTTCGTCAACCCCACCAGGAGCACTGGAACTGGGATAGGATGGCCCTACTGAGCTGCCCATGGAAAATAGGCTGAGCCTTTGTATCTTTACCCTTGGTAGAGGGTCATTGTTATAGGAAGGGCTAAATGGAAATTCCTGGGACTTCTATTCCATTCGAAGACAGTAAATGGCAAATATTACTGCATCCTTGAAGGAATTGCAGAAAGTAATGATGCAGTTAAAGACTTGAAAGAAAGAAAAAATAATAAAAAATAAAAATAAAGACTTGAAAGAGGCAGGGATGGTGATACCCATCACATCTTCATTTAATTCACCAGTTTGGCTGCACTGTTGTGTGTTCTTTTTTTTTTTTTTAAAGGTATAACTTTATTTATTTTTTTTAATTTTTATTTATTTATGATAGTCACAGAGAGAGAGAGAGAGAGAGAGAGAGGCAGAGACACAGGCAGAGGGAGAAGCAGGCTCCATGCACCGGGAGCCCGACATGCGCCCTGGGCCAAAGGCAGGCACCAAACCACTGTGCCACCCAGGGATCCCTTGTGTGTTCTTTTTAAATTCAATTTGCCAACATATAGTATAACACCCGGTGTTGCTCCCATGAGTGCCCTCCTTAGTGCCCATCACCTAGTCACCCCTTCCCTTCCCCCCACCCTCCTCCCCTTCCGTAACCCTTTGTTTCCCAGAGTAAGGAGTCTCTCATGGTTTGTCTTCCTCTCTAGTTTTTCCCCCACTCAGTTTCCCTCCTTTCCCTTATAGTCTCTTTCACTATTTCTTATATTCCTGGTATGAGTGAAACCATATGATGATTGTCCTTCTTCAGTTGACTTATTTCACTCAGCAATATACCCTCCAGTTCCATCCATGTCGAAGCAAATGGTAGGTATGCACTATTGTAAACCTAACCTGATGGTGGCTCCAGTTGCGCTCCTGTCCTACATGTAGTATTTCTACTAGGAAAACAAACAAACAAACAAACAAACAAAAACAAAAACAAAACTCAAAATATCCCCAGGTACTTGGACTGCAGCCACTGACCTGGCTAATGACTATTCTCTATACCAATTTGGAAGAACTACTAGAAGCGATTTTCTTTTACCTGTATACCTTTACAGTGTTGCCTCAGGGTTATGTCAGCTCTCCTGTTCTTTGACACAAAACAATTTGTAGAAATCTTGATCATCTTGACATTCCACAAAAGATCATCCTGGTGCATTACATTGGTGACATTCTGCTGACTGGATCTGAGAAGCAGGAAGTGGGAAGGGCTTTACATACCTCAGTAAAACATATGCATAAGAGGGTAAGAGACAAAGTCCCTGAAATTCAGGGGCGGGAACTTCAGTGAAGTGTCTTCAGTTTAGTGGTCTGGAGGATGTTGATATATCTCCTCCAAAGTACACTGCCTACTATGAACAAAGAGACACAGAGTTTGGTAGCCCTCTTTGGATTCTGGAGGCAACATAGATGACATTTGAATGTGCTACTACAGCCCATCCTACAGAGTCACACTTAAGACTGCAAGTTTCTAGTGGGGATCAGAACAAGAGAAGGCTCTGTAGAACATTTAGGCTGCAGAACAAGTCATTCAACCACTTGGCCTTATGATCCAGCAGATCCAAAAGTACTTGAGTGGCTATAGTAAATGGGGATGCTGTATGGAGGCTCTGGTAAGCACCAACAGGAGAATCACAAATCAGACCTCTAGAATTTTGGAGCAAATATATGTCATCTTCTGCAGCTAATCGTTCTCCTTTTGAGAAACTGCTTTTGTCTTGTTACTGGGCTTTTGTAGAGACTGAAACTCCAGCTATGGGACATGAAGTGACCATTCAGCCTGAGCTTTCCATCATAAGCTGTATGTTGTCTGACCCATCTGGCCATAAGGTTGGGTGTGAACAGCAACAATCTATCATCAGATAAGAATGGTACATAAGAGACCAAACTTGGGCATGTCCAAAAAGTACCAATGAGTTGCACAAACAGGTGGCTCAGATCCATATGGCACCAACTCCTATGGCATTGACTCCTCCATGCCTATGGTTACATGGAATGTTCCTTACAATGGGTTGACTGAGAAAGTAAAAGTTCGAGCCTGGAAAATAGACCAGTCTGCATGATATACTGGTCCTGCCTGAAAAGTTGATAGCTATGGCATTATAATCCTACTCAGAGGTGATCTTAAGGGACAGTGGTGAAGAATGATTCCTTTCAGTGGGTAGGACTTTGAACATAGATGTGGTTTTTCTTATTTGTCTGG